GACAACTTGTCGGAGCAGGCTCTGCCTTTGCAATTCTGACAACCAGAACCACCCCTACCCCCGTCCCGGGTGGCTAAACCCAGGATGCTGAGGGACCCTGCCCTCGCCCTGTTCCTAAGGGGGTGACAACAAGTTTCTCTGAATTCTTACACCCTTTGGAGAGTGGGGGGTATCTCTGAAATATTTTTGCCATCTTGAATACCTTTAATTTTGCTAAGAAGAAACTGGTTCTGACATCCCTTGGAGAAGTTTGAGAGGCCACCATTTTCATTAATAAAGATGCATCTCAGACACTGAGTGCGCTAATGTGTGCAGTCCAGCTTGGTGACTGAGAAGTAGGTAACAGACACCCAGGAGGTGATCCTACAGGAGTGCCGGCTTCCTGACCATCACTTCTTCAGACCACCGCTGGGCTCTCCATTTGTTACTAGAGCAGCTGACGTCTCTAGAGTTGTAATTTAAATGAACTGGCACGTACACAACATCACACTGGCTCTGATGGAGTATTTTCAGGAGCATTCCAGACAGTGTAATAAAAGGTTGGTGGGCTGGGGCAGACCTCTTGAGAGAGTGCCCGGAAGGGCAGACGGCATATATTGGATTTGCAAGAGAACAGATCTCTGACAGTTATTGTTCACCAACGAGTGTTTCAGACAAAAAAAAAAAAAAAAAAAAAGCAAAACACCAAACGAAAAAAAAACAACAACCCCTAAGTAGACCATTGCCCTGATTCCAAAGAAAACCTTAGTTTCTGTAAGCTTTTGGAGGCAGCACCCTTCCAGTAATCAGCCAGACTGCCTGCCTGCTGCCCGGCTAACCCGGCTAACCCGCAGGTCTGCCCGCGACTGCAGCCGCTGCATCACCGCAGGGGGTATTGACTTTCAAAGGCGATGGCAGCGCCTTCATCTGTGCCATTTCCTCTGAAACAGAAGTGATTTTCTCTCGCAACCATGCATCATATTTATAATAGCTTATTGATCAAAGCCAGGTCCACTTTCAAAGAGCAAGGAGGAAGCCATGTGTCTTGTGAGCGAGTTTTCCACTAGAAGCCACTAGTTTTGCAGCCCCAGCTCTTCTGCACAAGCCGTGGTGCATTTACACTCACCCCCTCCTTCTCTCCCCCACACCTTCGATCACGCTCAGGCGTGAGAAAGCAAGGGCTTTGGTCTAAAGATGCAGAGCAAGCTGAACTTGCCATCCAGGGCTCCTCAGAACACTCCTCATCAGTCTTAGCCACACTCCTGCCCATCAAGAAATATCCCTATTGTTACATGGCATATTTATGTTAGCTGTTTCATGTGGACCACTTTTGGACATTCGTGTTTTAAATTTTAGAAGAACGTTGAACCTCATGCTTCAAGCCTGAAAACCTTATTCTTGTGCTGTTCCTCTTGTCCTGAGGTTGGTATAAGGAAATTGTGCTTTCTTAGCCAAAAATGTACTAACTGAACCACACAAAGAAACCTGCCGTGGAGTGGTGGGTCTCACCGACAAGAAGGCCTCCTGGCTTGGAGGCTGACGACATCATGCAGGAGTGTCCAGTGTTTCTAGCCCGCCACAACATCTGTAGGTGACCAGAGTGGAGTCGAGTGGATGTACTTGTGTTTGTTTGTCTGCTTGGACGACCGTGATAAAATATTAGACTGGGGGCTTAAGCAACAGAAATGGACTTTCTCACAATTCTGGAGGCTGGAGGTCCAAGATCAAGGGGTCAGTGGTTTGGTTGCTTCTGAGGCTCCTCTCCTTGGCTCGAGACGGCTGTCTTCTCACCTTATTCTCACATAGACCTTCCTCTGCTGCCTCTTTTTGTGGGTCCAAATTTCCTCTTCACAGATGTACACACCAATTGGATTGGAGTAGTGCCCATGGGAAAGACCTCATTTTAACTTAATCAGCTCTTTAAAGATCTTGTCACCAAATACAGTTACATTTTGGGCACTGGGAATTGGAACTTCAATTTTGGGAGAATACAGATCAGCCCACAACACTTATTTAGTACCAGTAATGACCTTCCCCATTTCCTTCCCACAGTTAGGACCCATCTTATTACTTTTTTTTTAATTGACATCTAGTCAGTTTACAATATTGTGTCAATTTCTGATGTAGAGCATAATGTTTCAGTCATACATATACATACATATATTCCTTTTCATATTCTTTTTCATTATAAGTTAGTACAAGATATTGAATATAGTTCCCTGTGCTGTAGAGAAGAAATTTGTTGTTAATCTATTTTATGTATAGTAGTTAGTATCTACAAATCTTGAACAGGAGATTGTCATACTAAGTAACGTGGAAAAAGGAAGAAAAATACCAAATGATATCACTTATATGTGGAATCTAAAAAAAATGACACAAATGAACTTCTTTATAAAACAAAAACAGACTCACAGACGTCTTATCACATTTGCTGAAAGCTCCATAAGGTGTCAGGTGCTGTAGTCCATGGCAGTTCTCATCATATGCCGTCCGATCCTTGGTCCCCGAGCAGCTCTTAAAGGTACAGGCTTCGGGGACCCTCCTCCCTCTCCCTCCAAGAGTCTCACAGAGAAGTCAGGTCTCAGGGATCTCTTCTGTTTCTACAAAATGGAAAAGTCTTTCTGGGGAGAGATGCTCAAATATGAACATGCTTTTGTTTAGAAGTTCCTCCCTCTGGGAAGGGACTGCAGAACTCCAGCAGAAAGACCCTCATCTCGCTGTTACACATTTTGATGCTGTTTGGATTTCTTTCGTATATGTGTTACTTTTTAAAATAAAAATGTATGTACTAATTTAAAAATAAAAACTTTTTTTTAAAGTGGATCTTTGACCGGCCCCTTGGGAAACGATGGTTGAAAGAGCCTCAGGCTGCGTCTAAGAGCTTGTCACTTAAGGGCAATACCCATCTGCGCTAAGGCGCTCAGAGGTGGGGTTTTAGCGGGGCGTCAGGGCGGGGCAGAGCAGGCTAGCAGACTCACAGACAGTGGCACAGGTGGCTCAGGTGACCTACGAGCTGATGGACAGGAGAAGACATGAAATGAAAAGCGAGGTGAACCAAGGCGTCACCCACGTATTAGTAGAGGAAGGCGGGGGCGGGACCCGCCGAGATTCCCTGGGCCGGGAGGCTTGGCAGTTCTTGTTTCTGGCTGCACATAAGGATTAGCTCGGGAACAGTAATAATATTGGTCCCCGGGCCCCGTTCCAGAGAGCCTCGTGGACTTTGGTAGAGGTGCGGGCATCAGCAGTTTCTAAATGCTGCCTGGGTGACTCTGATGTGGGGCGCGTGGTCTTGGCTGGTGCACTGTCAGTGGTCAGGTGTGTCCTGCGTGCTCCTGGGAGTGACCGCAGGACAAATGGAGGCAGGGCTCCTTGGCCAGTTTATTCCTTATCAACAAAGACGTAAGTAAGTAGAAATGAGCCTGAATCTTATGGAGAAAGGCTGTCTTCTTGAGTGTAAGACTCTTGTACCTGGTCTGAAGCCTGCTTCCACTGGCCCGGCCAGCCAGGGGGCAGGTTCCAATGGCAAGAACCAGCGGAGAAGGCAGTTCTCCCCGGGCAGTTCTAGACCTGGTGGTGGCGTGCCACGGGTGGGAAATTGAGAAGATATATGGTAAATTTCTAGCCTAGACCATTGCTTCTCAACCTTACCTGCATATTGGCATCTCTGGGAAGCTTTAAACACTGCTGATACCTGGGTCTCTCCCCGAGGATGACATGAATGTCTGAGCACCAGTGCTTTCTGAAGCTCCCCCAGTGATTCTAATACGTAGCGAAGTCTAAGAACCACTGGCTTACCAACGATGTGATTGGAAAGGGAAGAGTGGGAAGGAAAACACAGCAACATCAAAGAAGAGCATCCACAATTACCCGGGGGAGAAAAAAACCATTAACTACCTGTCCTTCTTCCAACATGCTGGGAACTGTTGCAGAGAAGCGTTCTCCAAACTTGAGAAACAGGTCATGGAGTTGCTGGGTCTTGATGTGGGAAGAAGAGTCAATTAGAGCTTCAGCACGTGCAGAATTCATTTAGCATTTCAAAGACAGAGGCTGGTGCACTCAGAGCAGTATACCTTCCACAGCCGGCCTGTAAGGATGGCCCTTCTGCTTTGAAATCTTGGCCAAGGGGCTGGTTGCTCTGGAGTAGGAAGATGAGATGAAGTAGAGGAAGAAAAATCCTGCAGTCTGACTCTTCTGGGTCAGAGTTTTATGAGGAGAAGGACTGAGAGGGTGGAGAAGGGGCTGTGTGCTGGGACCATGTGGATGCTGAGGGGCAGGGATGCTCTGGATGTAACAACCAGTACAGAACATGGGGAGGACTGTGCGGGCCCTACCTGGTCCTGGGGAGGCGGAGAGGGTGAGGTGGGATGCTTTGGGATGGGACACTTTGGAGTCAGACTCAGGCTCTACCATTTTTGTTCACAGATAATGGGGCTATGCCCATGGGGTTCAGGGGGAGGAGCACTTTGGAGACTTGGGGTACAGACATTCTTTACTGTTTTAACAACTGGTCCAGGTGTACTGGTAGGTGCTGCTGTGTATGAGTCTTGGTCTAATGTCTGTTCTCTGGGCTTCTATCTGCAGAGGAGGAAGTGGTGCTTTCTAGAGGAGCTCATGAGGACACCGTGGGCTGCAGGTTCTTGCCCAGTTTGGTTGTGGGATTCTGGAAGAACAGCAGCCACATGGAGGTAAGTCCACCTGGTGGGTTAGCAGCGGCTAGTTGGGGCGGGGCCCAGGCTGAGTCCTCTCCAGTCACCTGGACCCATACCTGTGGGTGGGACCTGGCGTTCTCCTGCCCTGGCCCCAGAGAGCTTCTATGGGTTATAGCTATCCAAATGTACCATATTGATTTTAAATTAATTTTAAATTAATTTTAAAGGTATTTATTTTATAACTTATTAAAGACAATAATGATCAATCTATTATGTTATAATGTGCACAAAATATTTTGGTGAAAAGTAACACTATTTTCCAAAACAAAAGAAAAATTGGTGAGAGATTGGCATTGTTTTCATTCTTTTTTACATAACTTTTTAATGTAAGACACCTGTCATCTCTCATCTGCGCCTGTGTTCAGTCCTGGCAGCTCGCTGTTTTGCAGATACGTTGTTGGAAGAGCGACAGGTATTTAATGGTTTGTTTCTCCACCAGATAATTGTGAATGTTCTTTGATATCACATCAAAACTCTGCTAAAGATTAGAGAGAGAATGAGGTAGAAAAAGCCAAATATTGACTTAGTATTATTATGGAAATAGCTTTGATTTCGTGGCCCCTTGAAATGGTCATGGGACCTCAAGAGATGCCTGGACCCCTGAGGATGGTGGAGGGAGCAGGGGGAGCCCCAGGCTGCTGCCCCGAAGGGACGTCCACAGGCAAGAACGGGCTCCAAGCAAACCTTGTAGAAGCAACATTTGGTCATGATCTCATCTCCACGTTTCTTTGCTCTGGGTGAGCTCTGTTAAGGCTGGTATGTGGTTGTATGTAGGTCACAGTGGCCCTAAAAACCAGAGCCAGGCGATTTCATCAGATCGTTCATTTAAGCATCGAATTGTTACAAGAAAACAGCAAAGCAAAACCAACTGAAAATGATTCCTTCACGCGGACTCGCACAAGGTTTAAAACGCTGGTTTTTGTAGACCCCCCGGGCTTGCTCATGCTGAACATTTTTTTTCCTTTCTTGTGTTGCTTGTAAGGGAAGGGGTCAGACCCTCTGACTGTGCCCTAGGTGGCTGTGATAGTCGCCATCATCTCTGGATGACGACGTGAGCCCTGTGGCCTGAGGATGCTGAACAGACAGTGGGCGGGGTGGACGGGAAGTGAGAACAGAGCGGATGTGCTGAAGCTGCTGGTTCTTCGCTGTTCAGCAGGGTGGGTTCCCAAAGATCCAGGGAGACTAGGTTTTAGGGTGGATTTGAGGGTTAACTCCTAGAACAGTCCGGGGCGAGTTATGGGTAAACACAGTGATCAAGACCTTGAACTGGGGATCACAGCAGGTTAAGAGTGACCCACCGTGTAGCTGCGAAACTTCTGGCTTCTTTTTACTTTGCCTCTGTTTCCTCTGTTTCCAACTAACCTGGTCATGAAATTGAGGGATTTCTGAAGTTTAGATCTTAGGTCCCTTTTTCTTCCTACTCCCCCACCTCCCCGTAATCTATCCTCAGGGGATCTCACCCTTACCCACCGCTTCATTACCCCAAAGTCCAGTTGTCTTACTAATTTATATCGGATTTATATCATTAGCTCTGAATTTCTGTGACTCCTGGCACAGAAGGCCTACTTGGCATTTCTGCTGGGACGTCTCAAGTGTATCTGACCCTGCACTTGTCTGAAGGCAGACGTGATCCTCGCCAGGCCTGTCTCCTTCCTGTCTTGTGTGCTGCCATGAATTTTACCCCCCAGCAGCCCCCGACCCCACTGCTTTCTAGTCAGGGAACTTGGAGGCCTTCCTGGCCCTCATGTCCCTCAGCCCCTTCCCAGGTTCTGATGACCCCACGTCCACTTCTCAGACTCCACGCCTCCTCCAGGCCCGCCCGAGGCACCATCACCTCTTGTGGGACTTGACAGCTGCCCCCTAAGGCCTTTTTGTGGCCCATTGTGGCCCCAGCACAACCTGCTCCGCTGATTATGGAGTCAGAACCACCACTGGAAAAGGCAAAACTACAAATCTTTTCAGGAAACCCACCCCCCTGGAAAAAAAAAACCCAAAACAGTGACCCCCAAATACTCATTGTAATGATTTAATTCAAACTGTAAGCTCAAAGGCTTCATTTAAGATGGAAACTGCTTTCCTAGTGGAGCACAGAGCTCCCCTGGGCCTGTGTGGTCCTGAGTCCACCAGAGATGCGGGCAGAGCTCATGCCCAGGATTCAGGGCTCCCCTCCTACCAGATGACCCCCCCACCATGGTTTCCAGCTGCTGAGGTTGCTCTGTCTCTGTGCCTCCTTCTTCAGTCCAATAAGACTGCAAATTTTCATTTGCTCCCACGCACTACAGATGGGGGCCTGCACTCAGGGCAGAAGATGAAGCCGAGAAACTCACCCAGCTCCTGCCCCTTTTTCAAATATCACCACCCGCCCAGTATCTGCCTGTTTTAGTCATGTTCCAGCACCTCAGGCAGTTGCTGATTATATCTGGTCTCAAGTTAGTAGTTTTAAAAAATAGTTTAAGGGTGCTTTTTTTTTTTATAAATAATTTGAGGGCAGGTTGGCCTCATAGTAGCTACTGAGTCATTACTGGGAGTGCAAACTCAAATCTAAAATCCTCGAGCTGGCCTTCAAGCTTCTGCATGGCCTGTCTTTTACCTGCTCCTCCCTCTTCATCCCGGAAGCGCTCCCCCAGCCCTCTTCGCTCTGGCCACACCTGCCTGTTCTTACGTCCTCAGAGGGGCCATCCTCCTCTGCCCTCTTGGTGTCGCCCAGGTTTTCCTTCTCCAGGACCTGAGCGCTCCCTCCCTGCCCTCAGCACCACAGAGTTGAGGACAGATGCTCTTCCTTAGGGGAGTCAGGCACTGCTTCCCCAGAAAAGGCTGCCTGTATCCCCTCCAGACGCCCCCTCCATTATATATTGTGAGCACCATGGACGTTTCCTTTGTGCATTTCTATTGGCTGTAATTGGGCATGTATTTCTGGAACTCTGATTCATGTCTATTTCCTCAGTCAGACTGTAGGCTGGTGAGGATCTGGGACCGTTCTGAGGGGAAGACAGTGCGCCATTCTCTCACCACTGCGGGTAACCCTGGGTCCACCCCATGAAGTGCGCACCCAGCAATTTACGTGCTTCGTGCATAAGGCTCTCCAGACATGCATTATGGATTGATTAACTTTTAAAACAATTTAGCAGACTGTGGAAGCGTCAGGACAGCAGAAGCCTGTCCCTGTTGGTCAAGTGCTTTGTAATTATCAGAACACCAGAGTCTTTGGGCCTTGGGGAAGTGACCAGCAGAGAAAATGCAGGCAAGGTCGTACACATTTTGTCTGGAGATTCCCTCTCTGTGGCTGCTAACCCCTTGTCCGTCATCCAGTGCAAGAGGAGAAGAGGAAGACCGTGGGGCTGCCTCCGCGTCAGGTGGCTGTGGTGGAAGCGCAGCCAGGAGGCTGCCCGAGATGGGACAGTAGCGGGGGGCACTGGATCAGGCAGGGTGGTCTGGGTGGGCGGAGGCCGTGGTGGGAGTGGGGAGAGGGAGACTCAGAGGTTATGGGTCAGGTCTGTGGACCGTCCAGCTTTGTCTCAGCCCCAGCTATGTGGATCTGCTCAGGACTGGTCCTGGGCAGCGGGCCACTTCCACCCTTCAGCATCTGCTCCTGTATCTGTGCTGCATTTGCTTGACTCCTACCTCCTTTCCTGTACTTCTACTTAGCTTTCAAGATTCTGGCCAAAGTTCCATCCATTGTCTTTTCTTTTCAAGCAAACCGACCTGTTTCCTTCCCTTCCTTCTTTCTCTCCTTCTTTCCTTCCTTCCTTCCTTCCCCTTTCTTTTTACACCTGTGTTATGTCCACACATTTTTCCAGTTATGTTTATTATAACTTACTGCACTTGTTCACTTTCATATGTTTTCCCTGCTGGACTGTAAGCTCCTCAGGACAGAGTCCAGGTCATAGTCACCTTTATCCCTAGTGCGAGCTCAGTGACAAACACACAGTCAGTATTGCATAAACGGTCACGGTTAGAACAAGTGAGTAAATGATGACCGGTGACCAGGGTGGTTGTGGCGGTGGGGGACACCGCCTTCAATATACAGGTGGTGGACAAGCCTCATGGGACGAGTATTGGGTGATGACAAAAGCAACGTGTGGATAGTCAAAGTCTGGGGAGCGAACGTGGTAGGGGAGCAGGAGGAAAAGGCTTTGAATTTCTCTGTGACCACAGAGCTGATGGCACTGGGAGAGATGGGATGAGGTTTGCTAAATCACTGTAGGGATTATTAGCAGTGGTGTGATCAGGCTACCTTTCAGTTAAAATAAAAGTGACGGCTGGATATGGACAACAGAAACTCCTTTGCCCTACTGATGGAGTGTAAATTGGTTCTATTATTTGGGAAGAGAGTTTGGCAGTATCTACTCAAGTGAACACACATATACTTTGCCTTAGCAATTTCACCCCTAACAGTAATGCACATGTGTATGCAACAAACAACGTGTGTGGGAATGTTCCCAATGAAATGAGACATTAAAGTCCTAAATGGGAAGCAACCCCAATGTCCATTAATAGTAGAACGAATAGATTTTGGTAAATTCAGTAATGCAACAAGCCTCTATATAGCCATGGGAATCACTGAAACACTGCAGAATGAAACAGCATGGGTAAATCTCACAAAGACAATGTGAAAAGAAAGAAGTCAGACAGAAAAGAATATTGGACTGTGAGAGTCACTATTTTATAAAGCTTAAGGGAAAGGGAAAGTCTGTGGTGTTAAAGGCCAGGAGAGTTGTTATATTTGGGGAAAAATTGGGAGGCATTAGTAGGGAGGATGCTTGAGGGGATTTCTTGGGGGGGGTGTTCTGCTTCTTGACCTCGGTGATGGTTACATGGATGTAATCTTGATAGTTCACTGAAATGCACACATAAGCCTTGTGATGTCTCCATACGTGTGTCAAACTGCAATAAAATAACTTGTTTCCAATGTAGAAATACTGTTACATATTTTAAGTTAGTAAAAAGACATGTACCGTCCTCAATTTTCTTAATATCATTTCTCTATGAGAAACCAGTTCTTTGATATTGCTAATAACTTTATTGATGTTTCTTCTCCAAAGAACTTTTCCTGATTTATTTGCAAATGGATTTTCAAATGACTACTTTGCTAGTTGTGTTAAAAGGAACTCTAATCTGTGTTTTATATTTCATATGCATTTATCACACCAGTGCCTCCCTTCCTGTAAAGGTTAATTTGCTGCGGTGTAGTCCTTCCCCACCCCCAGCTTTTCTGACTCAATGACATGTGTTCTTCTCCCACATTAATTTTCTGTTGATCAAATTATTCTTCTTCTCTTAAAGGATGAATTTACATTTTAATTGGATCCTCTGCAGAACTATTGATGGAACTGTACCTTCCCATACTTTAACTTCCTTTTTCCCTGACTTATACCATTTCTAGCTCAGTTTCTTAAAACATCCAGACTTTACAACACCACATAACTGAAAAATGTTTGATCAGAGTCAATTAGAGCACTGTTGCAGAAACAAAGTTATGGTATATTATAGCAAGAGACTGGATTCTATTACACTAAATAATTTGTGTTTCGCCTACAGTGATATCTACATAAAGCAAATGAAAGGAATTAATGTCACCTCTAGTTAGCCAAGTCAGCAGTCTTTGAATTTCAAAGTGATCGCCAGTCTTGTATCTTTAACCAAATGGCTGCACTTATATTTAACTTTCCCTCCAAAAGAAATGTTAACTTCATAATGATTGGCAAGACATCAAAATTCCATCGAATATCTGTAATTTATTCAACATTGGAGAGGCACTTAGAGTGTATGGATGGAAACACGGACTCCAAAGAAGACCGCTGGGGTTTGAATCCCAGTCCATGTCAACTGAGTGACCTTGGATGAGTCACTTATCCTTCTGGTGCTGACTTAGTTTCTTTGTCTGTAAAAAGGGGTCATTGAGAAGATGAAAAGAGTTATCCATGTACAACCTCTATGCCTGGTACACAGTAAGTGCTCAATAAATGCTAGCTGTTTTGTTGGTTTTGTTGCCATTGTTACAGTTGTGTTACCACTGGTGAACCATTATTTAGGACTGAGTGAATGTCAATTTAAAATGTAAAGCCATTTGTGTGTGTGTGTGTGTGTGTAGCAAGGGTCCATGTGGCAACAAAAAGCACAATTTGAGTAATCTGGAATGTAGAAAAAGAAATGATCTTTTAAAAAAATTTTATTAAAGGATAGTCAGTTTGCTATGTTTGGTCAATTTCTAGTAAAGCATGATAGTTCAGTCATACATACACATACATATATTTGTTTTCACCATAAACTACTACAAGATATTGAATATAGTTCCCTGTGCTCTACAGAAGAAACTTGTTTATCTATTTTATATATAGTAGTCAGTATCTGCAAATCTTGAACTCCTAATTTATCCCTTTCCACCCCCTTCCCCCCGGTAACCATAAGTTTGTTTTCTATGTCAGTGAGTCTGTTTCTGTTTTGTAAATAAGTTCATTTGTCTTTTTTTTAGAATCCACATAAAAGTGATATATGGTATTTTCCTTTCTCTTTCTGGCTTACTTCATTTAGAATGACAATCTCCAAGTCCATCCATGTTGCTGCAAATAGCATTATTTTATTATTTTTTATAGCTGAGTAGTGTTTCATTGTATAAATATACCACAGCTTTATCCAGTCATCTGTCAATAGACATTTAGGTTGTGTCCATGTCTTGGCTATTGTAAATAGTGCTGCTATGAACATTGGGGTGCACGTATCTTGTTGAATTAAGGTTCCCTCTGGATATATGCTCAAGAGTGGGATTGCTGGATCATACGGTAAGTCTACTTTTAGGTTTTTGAGGAATTTCCATAATGTTTTCCATAATGGCTGCACCAGACTACATTCCCACCAGCAGTGGAGGAGGGCTCCCTTTTCTCCATACCCTTTCCGAAATTTATTGTTTGTGGACTTTTGAATGATGCCCATTCTGGCTGGTGTGAGGTGATACCTCATTGTAGTTTTGATTTGTATTTCTCTGGTAATTAGTGATATTGAACATTTTTTCATGTTCCTTTTGGACGTTTGTATGTCTTCATTGAAGAATTGCTTGTTCAGGTATTCTCCCTATTTTTGGATTTTTTT